TAGGCAGTCTGAGGCCTCCTGGCCTGGCTGGCGGGGTGGGGGGCTCTCAGGTCCCAAGGCCTCAGGGCCACCCCACAGGGGCAGTGCCACTGTCTAGCAGGGCTTCTCTGGCCCCACAACACACAGACCCCACAGAAGGGGCCCGGCTTGCCCTGAGCCCAGAGCCAGGCCTCCTGGCCCCTCAGGGGATTTCTGCTGCCACCCGGGCCTTCCCCACACTGCCCCTCCTGTCACTGTGCAGTGCCCTCACAGGACCAGGGGATCCCTCAACGTCTCCTGGCAAACTCTCCAACCCTCCCTAGATCCCAGCCTGATGATTCCTAGCACCCTGAGCCCCAGCCCAGGGCAGAACCCTCATGGGGATGTGGCTGGGGACGCGCCAATCACAGGAGGCCCGATGGAGAAACCCCGACCCCTGTTGGTCCACACAGAGCCAAGACGCAGACTGCATCCTGGAAACAAGCAGCTTTCCACTGCATCCTGGCTGGCGCAGCCACCCGTCCCTAGGGGGGACAGCAGCTGGGCAGAGGCAGCCTGCAGTGTGTGCCTCTGCTTGCCTGTGCCCGCACCTGCCAGCCTCCTCCAGACGGCCTGGGGACCACAGCTTCCCCTCAAGGTGGCCGAGCCCACAGACCCTGTGAGCTCCAGTGAGGCCCACTCCCAGCTCATATGCCAAGAGGACACCAAGGGGGTCCCAGGGTGCCTGCCCCACCCCTTATCTGGTGTTGCTGAGACCTGCCCTTGGCCACAGGTGGCTCCGGCCACTGTGCATTGTGGTGAGGGACCTCAGCATCTGCAGCTGTGGGAGGCCTGAGGCCCCTGCCTGTGGCAGTAGGCTGGAAGGGTCCCCAAGCCCCGGCTCGGACTTTGGTTTGGTGTCCAGGAATGCCCTGGTCTGCCTCTGGCTCTGGGTTTCGCTCTCCAGGCACCCCCTTCCTCACTCCTGAGCTGCCCCAGGGCAGGATCTGGACACCCCAACGTGCTGACCACTGGGGCCCTCCCCGTCCTCCAAGCCTTGTGTAGGCGGGGCCTAGCCATGTGGTGGGTCCTGACAAATCAGGAAGGCCCTGCCTGCTCAGGGGGTCTGCAGGGGTCCAGGCTGAGGGTCTCCTTCCCAGTCTAAGCTCAGGTGAGGACGTCAGCCCTGTCCCCAGAGGTACCAACCTGCACCAGCCTCTGCCCCTCTCTAAGAGCACTGGGCCTGGGATGCCCTTTCCAAAGATCCCCCAAAGTCACCCCCTTCCCAGTGAGGGGTCTCCAACACAGAGCCCTGAAAAGAGGGAGGCTATGTATCCCACCTTTCCCCAAGGGCAAGGAGAGACAGGACACCCCCATGTCACGCCTGCATCAGGAGCGGGGCTGCCAGTGGACAAGCAATCCTGACCCTGTGGATGACCCCTGGGGCACCCTAGGGTGGGAAAAGATGGGGTCTCCCCAGGGAAGAGGGGGCAGCTGCGTGGGCCTCAGGACCCAGGAGGGAGGGTGTCAAGAGTCGGAGACCAGAGCAGGAACTCCAGTGCAGCTCCACCGCCACAGGGCTGACCGCGGGCTGACCGTGCTGGCCCCCACCAGGCCCAAACCTCCTGACCCAGCTGCCCACTTCCTCCTCCAGCAAACTGCAGGCTCAGCTCTGGAGGCTGCAGGAGCCGGTCCAGGGCCAGCAGGCCCAGGTGGTGCCTGGAGAGCCGCACTCTCAAGCCAAGGTAAAGACTCCAGGGCCTGAGGGTGGGGGCGCTGGCCCCCTGGAGGGCTGGGCAGGCACCACCCAGGGTCCAGCAGCAGGGGCCAGCCAGAGCTGCCCACCTGAGGAATAGTGTGTCCAGGCCCCAGGCCTGTCCACATCTCTGGGCCAAAGTTCCTGGACAAGCCCTGGAAGCCCCTGACCCTGCAGATCTAAGGGGGGCCGGGAGGGGCCAGGTCTTCCCCTGGCACCCTGTCACAAGTCTGGCCTCTCCCACCTCTCTGAAGGCCTCTGTCCTCTCTGTAGTGCCACCAGCAAGAGTGAAGGTCCACATGGGGCCAGCAGGCAGGCAGAGGGACCCAGGACCACCGCCCGTGCTCACAGGGTCCTTGCCCGCCGCCCAGCTCTGTGCACAGCCTCGCACGGGTCTCCCGACTCTGCACAGCCAGGTCCACCTGGGCCCTGCGGTGGGGCCCCGACCCCACCCAAGCAGCCGAAGGTGGCAGGGTGGCTTCCTGAACACAGGGACAGTGGGTGGACAGGCTCTGATCTGAAAATGTGGGTGTGAGCAGGGTGCTGTCCACCACAGCCAGAGTCCAGGACCCAGAGCCAGCCGGGGTGGCTCTCTGCAGGCATGCAGCTGCCCACAGGGCTTTGCTTCCTGTCCAGCTTTCAGCTCTGCCTGGTGGTCTGGGGCTTCCATGCAACCAAACCTATCAGCATCAAAAAGTGCCTCTACACTGACTGGAGAGATTCGTGCCAACGGCCAAGGTGGGTCCTGCCACAGTGCGCGAGGTGGCCGTGCATGGAGCCAGGGGTCCTGGGTGCCCCATGGTGCCTCCCAGTACCTCCAGGCCCACTGGTGAAGGTCCTGGAGACTGAGACTCTCCAGGATGGAAGGCCCATGAATGTCGGTCCCCCTTGAGTCCCTCGGGCTTCCTGGGCTCTGGCACCAGGCTGAAACCAGGCCCACTGCTTGTAGCAGGTTATTTATGGTGTTTGTGTAAAAACCACTATGGTCGTTATCCACAAGTGTGGCTGAGCGTGTTGGGCCGGTAGTCAAACACGGGTAAGATCCAATTACAATGGTACCAACCTAAGACAGGAGGCTGACGATTTGAGGTCAGACCATACAATGACGGGTAAGGACCATATGAAGTATTGGACAATCTAAAACAGGCACGGTCCCTAAGCCACATACTTGTTCTTTAAATTAAACAAAAGGGGGAGATGTTAGGGTCTGTAAACAAGTCAAGATGGCGCCTGGCACTTTGCCAGAGGGAGTGGTTTGTGAAGTAACGCCAGCCAGCCATTAAGATGATACAGATTCCTTAATGACTGACTGCTGTGCCTGGATTATGTCAATTAAGTTAAGCTGTGTGTAATCATTAAGATGATGAGGATTCCTTATTGGTTGACTGCTGTACCTAGTTTATGTTAAGTAAGATAATTAAGATAGTTAAGTATATATACCTCTGCCGTCCAGCAATAAAGCGGCTCCTGCCGTATCAATCCTCACAAGTTGCTTGTCACACCCCCTGGTTATTTTGCTGCAGCCAGACTGCGGCACAAACCCAGAAGGCTGTGTGTTACAGTGATTATGACAATGTGTCTTTGGCCCTGAATAAGCTACACGCTCACATATCGCTACAGACAAAGTTGGCCCTATTGCCTCAGCTTCAGTTGCTCCTGCTGTGTGGACATGGAGATGTGGAGGGAGGAGCACTGTGTCCAGCTGCTCTCCAGCAGGCCACAGTAGCTCCATGTCCTTTGCACTGTGGTTGTAGGCTCTGGTTACAAAAGGTCCCCTGATGTGCCACCAGGGGACATTACAAAAGATGGCATGGTAAGATTGTGGGGCCTTGCAGGCACCGTGAGTAGAACGTGCCATCCTGAAGGAAAGGAGGAACCCATGTCCCTCTCCATGCCCGAGCACTAGCGGGTTCAAGGACGGGAGCATGGGTTTGGGCTGCAAGGTCCAGATGTGACTTGTCCCGAAGGACGTGTGCTGTCACAGAGTGACTCCCTGCACACAGGCCAGGCTCCTCGGGAGCTGGTCACCACTGGACAGGGCCCCAGAGGGACAGAGGTGTGCTTTCTGGGGAAGCGCTGGAGGTAGCATGAGAACCAGGACCTCTGGACATCCTCATGGGCATTCCACACCCCGTCTCCGTCTCCGTGGGGTCTTTGGTGTCTTGATGACCTATCTCACTGCCCAGAACAATGAGGCTGTGGACATTGAGAAGGGAGGAGGGAGGAGGGGCAGAGGGCAGGAGGGAGAGGTGGAGAGGGAGAGGAGCTGCGTTAGGAGAGAGGAGGCGCCGTCATGACAAAGCCTGGACATGGCGCTGAGACACTGCGCCCAGCTCCCTGTGGGATGGTGAGGGCGGTGCCCCAGGGCCCCCGACTCTGTTAAGCTGAAACACAACCAAGACAGAAAGTCGGGAGGCCGAGAGGCTGGGCCCACCTGGTCCAGCGTGGAGGAGCTTCGGGGCAGCCGTCCTGGGTGCCAGCCGAGCCAGGGGCTGGAGGCCTGCCCTCGACGCTGCCTTGTGCCGGCCATCCCTGCTGGACCACAAGCAGGCAGGAGCCCAAGGCAGGAAGGTGAGCTCTTCCTCCCAATCTCTCCACTGCGAAGGGGCAGGTGCCGGGTAAGGGAGGTCAGCAATGGGATCTGGAGCCAGAGCCAGGAACTGACCCCGTGCTGGACGCTGCTCTCGCCCCCTCACGGACTCGTGGACACAGTGGACGTGTACTAATTCACTTAAGGAAACCCGCCATCCTCACACATGTGAGGGGCTCTTGCTTCTTTCCCCGAACGAGGACCCGCGGGTCACACGCCCCCAGAACCCTCGCTTGGTGTTGTTGACCCCTCAACTCCAGGCCCACTGAATGTTCTGTCTCCAAAGCTGGAGTCGAGAAGCTGATCTGCAGCAGCCGTGCAGAAACAGTGGAGCCTGAGAGGGGCAGGCACAGGGCGCAGAGAGCAGGCCGGGCGCCCCTGCCCAGCCGGACGCCCAGAGCCTCCAACCTTGCTGGGTGTGCTTTCTTCCTGTGGGGACGGAGCCAGGGCCTGGCACACGCAGGGCGAGTCTCTGTCACGGAGCCACCTCAGCACCCGGGTTGGGTTTCAGCCTGGTGCCGGAGCCCAGGAAGCCACCATGTTCTTAGTCCTAAAGCCTGGGTGTCAAGGGAATTAAGGGGGCTTCAGTTGTCCCCTGACCCTCCCAGGGACAGGGGAAGGGCTGGAGGGTCCATCCAGGCCGTTCTCCTCAGCACCTGGGACACAGGAGGCCAGGTTGTGGGGCTCAGGACCTGGCTATGCAGGGGAGCCCTGCTCTGGGGGAGCACAGAGGGCCAGCAGGAGGGGGCAGGGGGGCAAGGCAGGAGAGAGTGAAGCCAGCGATCCGGGGCCTGTGTCCACCACCCGGTTGTGGGAAGCCACATGAATGACCACACCTTCCAGTCCTGATGCCTCAGATTCTGACCGACCACTGCATTCGCTCGGATAGTAAGGGGTCTTCCTTGTGGGAGGTGCCTCCAGGGCTGAGTTACAGCCACCTGTCCCCGGTAACCCTGCCCTTCTGGCCTTCTGTGGATAGGGCTTTCTAAAGAACAAGAGTCCCCCCAATAACAGCCCCCCTGCGAACACACTTGCTCCCACCAGGCTCTAGTGACTCTCCCTCGGTCTCCCTCTGGGGAGCCTGAGGCCGAGAGCGGAGAAGCCGTCCTGAAGCCTGTTCAAAGTACAAGTGTGCGTCTGTGTTTTATTTGGTGTCCGTGCAAATTCACACGAGTGACCTTAAGTTCAGATCCCGCGCAGGTTGGGGTGGCACCTGGTAGCCAGCCCACCCGTGGGGGAGAGACCCTTCCTGGGCGCCTTTAGGAAGGACCACCCAACCACGGCCCTTCTGCCACAGCCTTCCCAGGGTCGACTCCAGGAAGATGGCTGCAGAAGTCTGACCCCCAGGCCCAGGTCCTCATTAGCAGCTGCAGTGCGGAGCCAGGACCAGGGTGGTCTCTGTCCTCACAGGCCCACACGTGACCCAGCACTTCAGACCAGACGGACTCATGGCCTTGAACCTGAACCTCCTGACCCAGAGCACAAGACCAAAAGAGCAGAAAACCCTCCCTCACCCCCCATCATCCCTCTACCCATACCCCTCACCCACCACCAGCCAGCCTCCCTACGGCCAGTGGGGACCAGGCCTAGACTGCTTATCCCCACTCCACCTCCCATCTCCCAGCCCCAGGCATCCGCAGGGGCCTGCTCCTGTCCTGGGGCCCTGCCTGCCCGGCTGACCAGGGCAGAGGCCTAGGGACAGCCTGGCCCTGCTGGGCCCCCTCTTGGCCGCCCAGAGCTCTGCTGGTGGAGTGCACACTGGGGGCAGTGAGGGAGGCTGGCCTGTCCTGGGGTGGCCATCACGGCCCTGCCCTGCCATGGGTCCCTTTGTCCTTTCCTCTCACTGACCCCAAGGTCACACAGCCACTCTGGGGTCCTGGGCACAGTGCCTTTATTTGTGCTGACAGTGGGGGAGGGCAGGGCGGGTGAGGCAGGCCCTTCAGCAGCTCAGCAGGCAGGGTGAGGGACAGTGGGACAGGCCATGAGGGAGACGAGAGGGGTGGGCCTGGGAGGGATGTGAGGGGAAACAGGCAGGTGACTGGGAGGGGGCGGAAAGGGGACCAGGGGGAGGGAGAAGGGACCAGCCTGCTCTGGGGTAGGGGCTGGGGACACCAGCCTGGGGTCCTCTGGAAGTCCCCGCCCAGCCTGCCTGCTCTCCATTTCCCACTGTCCACTGCCTGTGAACGCGTTACCGATGGCAGTTGGGAAGACGATGTTGTCCTTGGTGAGACCCTGAGCTTTGACCAGGCAGGTGAATCTGTCCAGCGTCCAGAGGGGCAGATTCCAGTGTCTGCCTGTGCTGACCAGTAGGAGAGCTCTCAGCCAGTCAGATGGGTGGGTGGGAGAGCCAATTGTCCCCAAGTCACCCGGTCAGTCCCAGCCCCCACCAAGGTCAACGCAGGGCTCAGAGCGAGGAGGGGGCTCACCCAGCAGACTGATCCTGATTGTGGTCTGGCTGCCCATCCGTCTGACGGACAGCAGAAGGGCAAAGACCGTGTAGTCGCCATCGACCACCTGGACGTCTTCACTGAACGTGCCGGTCCCCGCCCTCCCGCCTGGGTCAGCCTCGCCCTTGGTGTCCACAGTGAAGTGCCCAGGCTGGGCCGCTGGGATCAGCACGTAAGACCAAGTGTTGCAGCGCTTGCCACTGCGGGCGAACAGGCAGGCAGGCAGGGCAGAGAAGGCTGGGAGGCCGGCCAGGCCCAGCCCAGAGGCCCCCAGGGAGACACAGAAGGCTGGAAACTGTCCCACAGCTGGAAACTGTCTCAGCCCTGGACCCCTCAGTCCCCCCTCTGCAGCCCACCAGTCCACATGCAGGCGGCTACCCGTCAGCTTGGCATGGAGCCCCCAGTCCCCAGGATGTGCAGTGGGAGAATGGCCTTTTCTGGGTCAGCCCTGCTCTGGGGCAGCGTGGCTGGACTCCAGTCTGCAAGCCCTGGGCCAGATGGTGTGGGGGTGAGGGGCACGGAGGGCCAAGGGCAAGCTGTCCCTGGCTGAGGTCAGCAACCCCATGTGCCACTCTCTTGGGCCTCAGGATAGCGCCCAGAGCCGCAGGGCTTCTCAAGGAGTTTGCTTGTTCAGAGAGCCCCTCGGGCAGTCGGCCTGCGGTGACACGGAGGGCGAGAATGGACCCCTCGCTCCCCCAATCAGGCCTGACCCAACCCAGGCCAGTGAGATCTCCAGGAACCTGAGGCCTGGGAGGGGTTCTGAGTGCAGCCTCAGGGCTCTGCGCCCACCTGCCACAGGCTGGGCCAGCGTGACGTGAATGACACACAGTCCCCAGAGGCTGGGGGAGGATCTGGGGACACACACCCAGGTGCTGCCTGCCACCAGCCTGGGGTCCCTAGTCTGTGTGGCAGCGTCCCCTGGCTTCAGCCCAAGTCCCCAGAGGCTGGAATGCCTCTGCCTCCCTCCCCCTGGTCTGTGTGGCAATGTCCCCTGGCTTCATGATCAGATACTAGGTGGACTCCAAGAGTCCTAACCAGAGCAGTCACCTGGCCCTCTTCCCCCGCAGCAAGCCAGCCAGGTGCTCAATGAGGCGGCCAGGCTGGGGGAGGGTAGCAGAGTTAGGATTGTCCCTGGCATCCCCAAAGGGCGCCCCTCCCCCGGAGGTTGCCATAGGCTGTCCCCCAAGGCCAGATGCTTCTCCAGCCAGGTGGTGGGCTCTTCGTCCAGGTGGGCCAACGAGAGCACCTGTGGCCCTGGGTGTAGCAGCTGGGGGACACTTACTCTAGCAGGGCCACTTGAAGGCTGTCCCCAGCAGACCATCTGGGGCTGCCCACTTCTCTCCTAACATTGTGAGATGGCAACCGGATTGGACAGAGGTTGGGCTGAGGCAAGCAGAACTGACCCGGGGTCTATCAGCCTTGAGCTCACTGAGCAGCCTGTGCACTGGACAGAGGCCTCAGGACGTGACGCTGCAGCCCACAGTGTGACGGAGGCCATGATGGCTCCTGGGAGAGGACCCAGATCCTCGGCTTCTCAGACAAGAGAGCCCACTCACCGGGTCATGGTGTTGGAGACCTCAAAGTGGCCCTTTTGGTTGAGCCCAAATGTCGTGGAGAAGGTATTCAGCAAAGCCCGGTCTTCTCTCCTGTAGGTGTTACTTGCCAGACCAAGGACAAACCACTGCCCCTGGAACTGCAGGACGGGTGACAGGAGGGCCAGCAGTCCGTACCCCACCTCGCCATACCCTGGACAGCCCTGAACCAAGATCCCTGCCAGACAGCTGCCCCAGGGCTGGGCCTGCACCACGACTCTGGCAGCAGTCACAGCCTGTCCTGCATCTGGCAGGGACTGGGTGGCCTGGCCAATTGCCAGTGGCCTTCCAGAGCCTCAGTTTCCCCACATGTGCAGAGTCTATGACCTATGGGAGCCACAGGAGGGAATGTCAGTGTCCTGCTCTGTTGGAGGCCAGGGGAGCCTGAGAGAAGGGCTCGCCTGCCTGGACTCCGGGGCAGTGCCCGCCACCCTCCTCCCTGAACCTGAACTTGGGCCCCAGCCCACTGCCCCGCCAACCCTGTACCTGTTTACTTTGGAAGTTTGCCACCTGTGGTGGGGTGGTTGGGTCCTGGCCCTGCAGGACTGTTGGAAGGGTGAGTGACAGCAACAAGACACACGAAGGGCCCATCCTGGTAGCCACTGGCCCTAGAGGGACCTCTTTAGGGCTCACCTGGCGGGTGCCCCTCCCAAGGGGGTGTGGCGGAAGAGATGTGGAGGGAAGTCTTGGGGAGGCAGGGCAGGCAGGATGGTCCCTCCTCAGACCTCCCCTGCCGTGGTTCCCTGAGTCCCAGGCAGGAGGGACTGGGAAGGCCTGTTGGGCCTGGCCTGGGCCTTGTCTTTGGATCCCTCTGTGCCTTCGCCCCCTTTCAAGTGTCCCACCAAGGTCAGGGCCCTGCCCAGCCCTGCCCTGACGACCCTTCCCAACACAGCACATCCTGTCCCAGGCAGAGAGCATGACCGGTGCAGTCCTGATGGGATATCTGCCCCACAGAGCGGTCCCCAGCCCCCAGGACTCCACATGACCCCTGAGCTGAGTGAGCGAGGGTGGCACACCAGCTGGCCTGGCGGCCAGGAGAGCATGGGCGGAGCCAGCCAGAGGGGGAGGGGAGGCGGCCTGGGCGCACCAGGGCTCCCCGGTGAGAGCGGCAGAGACTTCCAAAGGGACCTCCACCCAAGCTGAGGGCAGGGGCTGTCCCCCTAATGGAAGTAGGGACCCTGCCAGGGTCCTGCCCAAAAAAGATCTAGCGAGGAGGACCCAGACATCGGCTTCCAGCTGCCCTGGCCGTTTGGAAGTCAGGCCTCAGAAGTCAATGCCCCTCTATGGACACGCCTCCTCCACCCCACTGGCAGCTGAGGAGGTCAGGAGGCTGCGGCCAGGCCCCCGCCTGACAGGGCACCTCCTCTGCGAGCTCCCTGTCCTGGCCAACTCCTCCTCTCTCCTGCCAGGGTCCCTGGCCATCTCCTCCCTCTCCCAGCCCTGCTCATGGGGGACTTGGGCCCATCCCAGGAAGTCCCTGGCCTGGCAACCTGTGCTGGGCAGGAACCCCACCACAAGGCTGAGGGCCTCAGGGCCAGACCTGCCCTCGCCTGGCAAGGGGGCAGCCTGCTGTGCTGACTGGTCCCCATGACCCCTGGCCTTGGTCACCCAGGAAGAGAATGGTGTGAACCGAGCCCAAGACTCCTCTGTACCCGGAGGTTCCAGAAGCACCTTTCTGCTCCCATCTCCTGGGGCCTTCGGGAGCCTGATCAGCAGCCCCTGGGCCCACGCTCACCCTGGCCAGACACGGCCCCTGCCCAGCTGTCTTAGTCACAGGGCACTCTGGGGAGATGTGGGGAGCAGCAGTCAACAGCATGTCCCAAGGACAGGGACAGCTGGTCCCTCCATACACACACCCAAGCAGGGCCCTGAGGTGGACAGGGCACTGGGGACCCCGAGACAGCCCCTCACCCAGACAGGACCCAGGGCAGCCCCTGCCCCCGTTCCCGAGGCCCTCCCGCTCCCCTTCCCCGACACAGGTCTCAGAAAAGGTGACCAGGGAAGCATTAGTTTCCACAGATTCTTAAAACAATTATTCTCTTAAGATGTTGCAAATCACCTATCAGAATTCAAAGGCAAAATACAAACTATAAGAGCTCTAAATAAAAAAAGATGCACAAGGAGCTATCGTTTAACAGAACGTTTGTTCATTTTATGAAATCATGAATTTATGAAAACGAAACGCGCGTCAATTCTAACGTGCTGCATCTTCTTTTCCCAGGTCAGACCCACACTGCGGTGCAGACCCCCAGGGCAGATTCGTAGGGTCAGGCCACTCAGTCTTTTGGAAGGGTCTCTGGCGCCCCCCTCAGAACAGAGAGAAGAGCACGCAGAGTCTGGCGACAGCGCGATGGGGGACAAGGCTCTCTGTGGCTGAGAGACCTTAGGGTCTCTCGGGGTCCTATGTGATGTGGTTGCTCTTGGGGTCCCTATTTTGGGGTCTTTGGGACATGGAGCTGGAGGGCAGTCTCCTGGGTGGGGCCTGTCCCCCGGTCCCTACCTCCCCTCTGCCTCCGGCCCTACTTCCCTGCTCTTCCTGAGTCCAGCTGCACAGGGACCCTGGGGGAATGGCAGGGGGACCGCCCACAGGACACGGAGCCCATTGGGCAGCTGCTGGCTCTTCCTGGTAGCCACCCACCCCAACCTGAGTCCCACTGCTCTCTCTGAGTGTGGCTGGGCCAGCAGAAAAGGTCCAAACACCAGATAGCCATTCCTCTGTGGCCCAAAGCTCACTGGGCACCCTGGGTCTTCCCACAGCCTGAGGAAGGAGGTTGTTGGAAGGGAGGGCATAGAGAGCACGGGCCCAGCGCAAGGTCCTGCCCCACCCCCGCCTCCCTGTCTGTGACCTTGGGGGACTCTGGGTTTGCCAGGGGGTCCTCCCGCTGTCCAGAGTCCCCATGCTCACCTTATCTGGCCCAAGCAACAGCTGGCTTTCTTCCCAGAGACTCCCACCTCTCTCACCTGGGTGCCCTCCCCCAGTGTCAGGGCACCCAGGTGGCCAGTCCTGCTCTTGGAAGCCCCTGGCTCACAGTGTGCAGGACAGTGAGGCCTCAGCCCAGCCAGGCACCGTGTCCAGGGATGGTGAAGTGACCTTGCTGCCCATCTCTGATATGCCATCCTACCTCAGGCTACAGGGCCCCTGGGCCTCTGGCTCTTCAGCTTCCAGTAGGGGGTCCTGACAGGAGCCCCTCCTTAGGGAAGTCCACCCTGGGCAGGGCCCTGGGGCCCAACAGGCTGTTGGAGAGGGCAGCCCAGAGGCCAGCACAGGACAGGGGAAGACAGCTGCTGCAGGGCCACACTGAGGGGGAGTTGGGGCCCAGGGGTTCTAGGAAGCTCCCCAGCCCCACCTTGCTGGGGAGGGGGTTCTCAAACGATGGGGGAACAAGCCTCCTCCTCCTCTGGTGCGAGTGGGGACTGAAAGGAGCCAGGGGTCCACTGTGATGTTTAATGAGCTCCCAGGGGGAGGTGGCTTCTGAGAGCAGACAGGGGAGACTCCTCAAGAACCACAGGGCCCTGACCTTGACCAGCGCTGCTCTGGAGCTCACCGAGGAGGGCAGCAGGTGACCCATCACGGCTCCCGCAGGCCTCGCCCCCTCACTTCTGCAGCAGACAGGAGACTCAGCAAGGGGCAGGAAGGAACCTGCACTGTGGCCACTGGCCGGCTGCCCTGCTGCCCACTCACCATCCAGGATGTGGAACTGGTCAGCAGCCTTGCAGAAACCTGGGGGCCCAGGCAGTGGTCAGGGAGGGCAGGATGTTGGCCAGGAGGGGGACCTGCTGGGGACACTCACCATACTTGGGGAAGTATAAGATCTGGTCTTCAGTCAGGTTGGCACTTTTGACCTGCTGCTCGAACACACTCAGGACAGAGTCACTCACAGGCAGCGATCGGGCTGTGGGATAGACAGGGCCACTGGTGCAGGAGGGTGTGGGGTGCTCCGGAAACAGAGTCTGGTGTCCAGGACTAGCTGTCTGTGCCCACTCCCACCCCAACCCCACACCAGGCCCATCCAGCAGCTCCTCCCTGGACACCAGCACAGAAGGTCAGGATGGGGAGGGAAAGGGGAGGGTCTGTGATGGCCCCTTGCATGTGCAGAGCCTGGGATCCCAAGTGGACACAGGCCATCACACACCGTATAGCTTCACGGACAGCTGCCTCGCCCGCTCCAGGTATAGGACGGCGAAGCCCTGGTAGTCAGTCGCAGCAACCACCATGTGCACAGGGGGCCGGGCTCCTTGAGCTGAGGCAGAGCCACGTCAGGTATCAGGCCCTACCCGGCTCTTCAGCCCTACCCCCTCACCTGCTGCCCTCACCTTGGAGCAGGAAGCGGCCAGGGACCTCTGTGTCTCTGTAGAGCTGTCGCACCTGCCAGCAGATCCCATCCCTGGGGGTGGGGGGAGTGGGAGGAGGCGCCAGGCACTGGGGACCCGACCCAGGTGGGACCATGTGGGATATCAGTACAGGCGACTGCAGGGCTGGGGCCAGGGGGCTAGGGCAAGGGTGGTGGACCATGCCAGGACTCACAGCTTGCGGGAGGTGTTGATGACCATGGCTGCACCCTGGGGAGTCACGTGCAATGTGGTTGCCTCAGCCTGGTGACCCTGCTCCTGTAGGAAGCGGCAGGCAGAGCCCACACCCACGAGGAGCCATGTCCCTGAAAACTGGGGTGAGGCACCAGAGGGACTCCAGGACACCGAGGGGAGAGGGTGGTCTGGACCCACCCTTGTAAAGCCGGGCAAGCTCCTGCCCCCCATCTACCTCTACTACCTGCCCCCACCTCCCTCCTTCCTCCCCCTGTCCCCAGCTTCTCACCTGCTGAGCATTGAATCTGGCCTTGGGCTGGATGCTGCTGATGAGGGTTGGGGGCCGGGGGGGTCGAACCCTCTGGGCCAGTGAGTTGGCCACCAGCAGCAGGGTCAAGAGCAGTGGGGTCTCAAGGGGCAGCATGGTGATAGTGGCAGGCCAAGGGCAGCAATGTCCCAGGTCAGAGTCCACTGTCCACCCCCACAGGAAGCCCAGCCCAGGAAGTCCAGGGCTGTCCCCTCCCTCCCCAACCCCCCAACCTGGGCAGTGGTCCTCCCAGCCTCCTCAGGAGCCTGGCCTCAACAGGAACCAGGCCCCATGTTCTGGACACAAGGCCCGGGTTGGCCTTAGACTCCTTGCCCATCTATTTCTACAACCTTGACTTCCACCGGGTCAGTGCGCAGCACCTTGCACATCTATCACCTTTAAACTACCAAACTCCGCTTTCAGCCTCACAGTCAACAACTCTGGGCTCCTGGAGCTCAAGGCCAAGGCAGTAGGCCCAGGGCAGTCTCGAACCCGCAGACCTAGAGCCCCGCCCCCGGGTGTATCGCCGCCGCCGCTCCCCCAGGGGCGCTGTTCTGGAAGAGCACGGGAGCGCGCAGGCGCACAGACGCGCAGGCGCGCGAGAGGCCGACGCGGGCGGCCGGGCGGTCGGCCCTCCGCAGCCATCGATGCCTCGGGGCTCGGAGCGTCCGGCCTGGCGGCCTCTTCCGTAGAGACGCGGGGGCGGCGGCGACGGAAGCGGCTCCGCGCAACGCAGCGGGCGGAGGCGCCGCGGTGAGTC